ATCGTTTTATTTCGATTGGATATTTACCATGGTCATTCAATATTTCAATGGATATCCACCTTTACACGCAATTACGCCCACCCAAAAATCATGTATAATTAAAAAAAAAACTTAGCACTTGAGAATATAAAATTTCAAAGATACAAATGCAAATTTATGAATTGACATTAGTTTGAAGCTGAAACGCATTTACTAGACGGTTGATAGAAAATACATTCTATATATACATACATGCAATAAAGAAATCAACACAGAGTAATATCAGAGCACCCGATACGGGCCATAAACATGGCGTTATTGCAGACGTGGCTATAAGAAAACGACAGTATAACGGGGAACAACGCCCCCTTCTCGTTATTAATGTGTTTTTCGTCTCCGGTGGTAACGTGCACGAGAGAAAACATGAAATTTGATTGGGCGTTTTTTTTTTTTTTAAAATTGTTAAGTTACCGTTTGAAAATAAATAAAAAATTAATTAATTACTTTTTTACCTATTAATACCTACTATAATATCATATATATATTTTTTCACACAATTCCTCTCCTTTCTCTATACAATTTCAATTATCTTCAAAAAAAAAATATAGATCCTCTCGATTCGTCTGACGATGACGGTGACGATATATTCTTCACTATGATGTGTCAGTACTATACTAACGAGATGCTACAACCAGACACACGGAGCTGTTCACTATTCGGATAAAACCGAATTGTCCAGTTGGACAATTTTTTTTGGTTCAGATATTCAGATTTTTAGATTGATTTTCAACAAAACCGAATTATTATTTTAGATTTTGGTTTGGTTTTGGTTTATAAAATAAAAATCAAATAGTCCCAAAAAACAAACAAACATTTATTACTTATTTATTTTTAATATATATCTATAGTTATTTATTAATTTTATAATTTATTTTTTTAAATAGATCTAAAACGTTTCACCCAAAACATTATTATGCATTTTTTCTCAAAAGTTTTCTATCTATAAAATATTTAATTATAATATACCTTCTTAGCAGTTGTTTATAAATTTCAAATCTCAACTACGTTGTTTTTGCTTCTTGTGAATTGAATAATATTATAACTATATGTCATTTTAAATGTTTCGGTTTTTGAAAACCAGATTATAAAAACTGATCCAACCGAATTGCAATTGGATAGGATTAGATCAGATTTGAATTTAGTTTTACTATTCGGATCCATGTTTAGAAAAACGAAATAATTTTGGATTCATTTGATTGGACCAAATCAAGCCGATCCAGCCAAACAAACACCCCTATAGATATAACCCCTCTACTCACAAGACGTGCGATGTTAAATAGAAACTGAGGCTAGAGCCGAACGTCTATATCGAGATTAGTTTGCAAAAAATTGTGTGTACGGATCAGATGAGTTTGAAAGAAGATTTCGTTTGAGTAGGAGTGTGTTCCTACGTATCGCCATCATCTTGGAAAACATGTATATTTTATTTAACTTTAATACTTATTTATCACAAAATAAATACAAATTTTTTCATAATATAAATGTTAGGTATAAATTTTTTCAATTGAGATATGATGTTAGATGTAACGCCCGGGTTTTCAGGGCTAAGCATTTTTGTCAATGTAATAGTCTAGGTCAACTATTGTAACTCTTTTTGAAGTAATAAATATGAAATATTTGAGTATTATGTGAATTATGTGTGTTTATGTGTTTATTATTTAATTATAAAAGTATAATTAATAAAGAATAAAAATGAGCGTCAAAATTAAAGTGTGAGATAATCCCGATATCTCTTCATAAAGTTGTAGAATATGTCTCAAGGTTTCCGTACATATAAAGAATGCCGAAATCCGAGCTATAACGAATAAGTTATGGCCCGCCGAAGTTTTACGGCAAAACCGACACGGCACCGGGAGACGTAAATAGTGAATTTACGATAGAAGACTTTTTAGCCTTAGCAGTCTAAACAAAAGTCATAGAATATGTTCAACTAAGAACATCGATAAAAAGAACGCCCAAATCTGACTTCGTATGAAGAAGTTATGATTTTTCTAAGATTCGGCTTAGCAGTGCACAGCCCGAAACTCGAATTTTAGTTCGAGCGGTTTTTGGCTTACGCGACCTAAATGAGAGTTGAAGATCTCATTCATAGGAACTCAACGGTAAAAAGACAGACGAAAACGGAGTCCGTATGAAGGAGTTATGAACTCTTCGCGGTCATTTAACAGTCTAAACTCCTCCTATTGTTAAATTTGAGATCGGTCGAGAATTAGCCGACGGAGTCTAAACGAAAGTTGTAGATCTTGATTTTACCTACGCGTGGATATAAAGAACGTCGAAAACCGAGCTCGTATGCGAAAGTTATGATTTTTCTAAGTTTGAAGGCTGATACGCGATAGGGGGTGACGTGGCACCACCAGAATTGGACACGCGGCACCACCAGAAGGCCACCACATGGACCAACTCGACGAGTCATGACTCAGACTCGACGAGTCCAGCAGAATCCTCCCCTATAAATAGAGGTGTCGGGCTCCCTCATTTCCTCACCCCTCACCCATCTTCTTTCTCTCTCTAAACTCTCTCTCTAAGCTCCCTAACCCCCCTAAAAGCCTAGGTAAACCCCCTAGCACCCGAAGGAAGCCCCGAGGCTCCCGGAGTCCCGAGAAAAGAGCCTTTCGGCTCGGGAACGCTGCTCCAGCGAAGCCCGGTTTTCGAGAAAAACCCGTTGTAAGTGAGCTGTACCTATCCTATCTTTAGTTTAGCTTATGTTTTAATATAGGAATGTTATTAGGTCCTTAAAATAATTATTTGGGCTATTATTATGAGTTATATTAAGTGTTATTAACACTTATATAATAATAATAATAGTCAAACAATTAATTTGTCACGGTTATCATTAGACTAAACCCTAGTGGTATCGATACTAGGTTTTATCGAAGGAATATCATTTTGAGAGTAGCGAAGCGCTGTCCGAGTGCTGAGTCACCACCTAATCAGGTGAGTGCATAGTTACTTTCAACTTACACATAGATATGAAGTATTTTATATAAATTACGTGCTATGTGTGCATATTATCTGAATACTTGCTATCTATGCTAGATGAACGTTGTTATACATGTTTTCAATGATTTAAACTGTATATGTATTTTATATTTACGAAAATGTTGGGGTAAAACATGGGTAGATGTAATAGGTGATGTGTGATAAAATGATGAGAGACCTCGATGTTGTTGTTGTTGATCCAGTCATCTAGCGGAGTATAGATGACGACCACGGACTCTTCTAGACAGTCCAGTGGAACACTAGCAGGCTCGCAACCTGTAGGTGTTGTGAACGATGTGTTCACCGGTGTACTCCATCCCCCACATGGTTGCCTATTAGGACATTTATTGCTGAGGAATCCCCTTAGCAGTAGTGTCCGTCCCGATGATGATCCTTAGGCTAGGTCCCTTATGATAGGTGTTTAGGGACGTAAAGTGAGGATAACGGGAACGGGTAATCGGGTTATTGTTGATTGATGAAATTAATAAACTTATTTATTGTGGGTTGAAAACCCTATGTGCTCACCAGGCTCCCAAGCCTGACCCACTCAGTTTTATGTATTACAGGTAGTGGCGCATGAGCATACGTGTGATGTTTTGGACGAGGGATTACGGATATAGGACTGTAGATATGAAATAATGTAGTAAGGCTTATATTGTACTGTTTATACTTTTGATCTGTACGAACATGACATTCCGAGTCTTTTAATGAAATACATTTCTATGGAAATGCTTTTGATTTTGAAAGATAACTCTGATTTTGAAATAAAGTATAAACAAAACCGGTCTTTTCTGGCCGTGATTTTGGGGATGTCACATTAGAGGTAGACGAGAGTTTACAACGTTGCAAAAATGTTCTGCGGCGATTTGTTTGATGGCTATGGGGAAGTCACCCGATACCATGGACGATTATATGAGAATGTCCGAAAGAACTGCAATAGAGAGTTTGTATAGATTGTCAAGAGGTTGTTGAAACATTTGAAGATGTATATTTGTGGAAACATTCGTTGCATGATTTGAAAGAATTGTATGAGGCGTATGAAGAACGACATGGGTTTCCAAGAATGATTGGAAGCATTGATTGCACACATTGGAGATGGAAAAACTATCCAGTAGCATGGAAAAGGCAGTATGCAAGCAATCATCACGGGTCACATTCGTTGGTATTAGAGGCTGTTGCTTCCTAAGATTTATGGATTTGACATGCATTTTTTAAGGTTGCAAGTTCCAACAACGATGTCAATGTCATTGATCAGTCACTAATATTTGATGATCTTCTGTTAGGAAAGGTACTGGACGCTCATTTCACAGTGAATGGAAACAAACGCAACTTTGAGTATTATCTTACGGATGAAATATATCCTGCATATTCCACGTTCATCAAGGCATTTCGTCACCTGGTCGAACCAAGAGATAAATTTTTTAAAAGAAAACAAGGAACACGTAATGATATAGAACGTGCTTTTGGAAATCTTAAGGCGAAGCGACATAGCTGAACACGCGGGCACGTCCATTAAACTTATAAACACTGATATATTATGTATGCATGTATCATAATGCATAATATGGTCGTAGAAGATCTAGGATAAAATATTGCACACTATATCACAACAGAGCCCAAACACGTTCAATTTCAATCGGGAACAACAAAATATTTACATAAAATTGTTGATATTCAGGACGTACATATACACAAACAACTTCGAGAAAACTTGGCAGATCGTATATTTGACGGTAATGATGATGAATAGTATTGTTTAGGAAAATTGCATTATTATTATTATTATTATTATTATTATTATTAATTTGGATGTCATATCTAATTTTAGTGCTATGAATTTTCTAGTTTTTAAATATTATGTTTTATAAAAATATATTTGTTTTAATTTAAAAAAAACAACTCGAAAAAAATAAAAGAGAAATGATTACATGGATAATTAATAGGTATTATAACATGCTTTTAACACGGTGATCATTTCCTCACTTGATATCATAACACCATTGCTGATGTGTAATGTAAGATGACACCAATTTGGCAACACGAAGCATAATCACATGCAATGATGCAAATATCTGAATGCAAGAAGTAGTTATCACTTATCATATCAATATCATTCACATCTGATGAGAGAGAGAGAGAGAGAGACTTACAGTAAGGTTACAAAACTTCATCAACCGAACCAAAATCAATCAACTATTACAACACATCCCTACATTCTTAACCTTTTTAAGGTAAATTTCTTTCAAATAAACCAATCTCTCATGGTTTATTTCATTTGAAATATATCAAGAGAGCTCTTACAGGTTATTGAGATGGAGGTTTGTACCAACCCCACGGTTGGTCAGAAATATATCGTGTCACCTGCTTCACATTCTGGTAGTTCTCAAGACCCCTGAAAATACATACAAAAAAAAAAAAAAACAATTTTGTCTTTGATTGAATATAAAACGTTCTTTTTTTACAATTTATAAAAAAAAAATTAGTATTGAATGTATGAAAGAAGTTTCTAGAATCATCACCGTTCTCCTAGCTCACGACCAAACCCACTCCGCTTTTTCCCACCCCATGGAGCTTGAGAAAAGCATGGTTGCGAGCAGTTGATCCATACAATACCTGCCTCTAAACCCTGTACATATATACATATACTTCATAACTAAATATATATATATATATATATATATATATATATATATATATATATATATATATATATATATATGTTGTTATTATTATTGAAAAACTAATGATTTATATTTACACCTTTGATACACGCTCACATCTTTCCAAATCTTTGGATATTACAGCAGCACCCAATCCATAACTGTAAATACATCCATCACAAAATAAGTTAACAAATATAATATAATGAACAATCCTTGAGTTGAGTTGACTCACTGAGTATCGTTTGCTAACTCAATGGCTTCTTCTTCTGTGGTGAATGTTTTTACACAAAGAACAGGTCCAAAAACTTCCTCTTTCCATATCTCCATGGATCTAGTAACATTAGTAATGATAGCTGGCTCCATATAGAATCCTTTTTTTAAATTCTGTAATTTTTTTTAAAAAAAAATAGAGCAATGTTATTTCATCTTATGTTTGGAGACAAATAAATATTCTTTAAAATACCTGAGGACGTTCTCCTCCACATAAAATGGTTGCACCTTCACTTTTGGCTGTTGATACAAATTTCAATACCTTTTCATACTGAAATATCAATTAATCAATTAATTCTTTTAATCTGTTTTCAAAAACATATAAAAGAAATATATATATATTTAAATTGTTACCTGTCCAGAACTAACTACAGGCCCAAGCCTACAACCTTCCTCCAAAGGGTCACAAATCTTTATGTTTTTAGCCCACTTAACAAGCTTCTCTAAAAACTCTTCACTAATACTTTCCTGAAACAAGTATCATAATTATTTTATTCCACTTACACTTTCAAAATTCAAATTATTTTTTTATGACTTACATGTATTAGAAGCCGAGATGTTGCACTGCATATTTGACCATTTGTCCAGAAGCAACCAAACAGTGTCCACTCAACAGCTGTTTGTATGCCAATCAAGAAAGAAAGAAAAAAAAAAGTTACTTTCTTTTTATCATTATAATAAAGTAATATCAAATTAACATAAAATCCAGAAACAAGAAACCTTTATCAATGTCCACATCATCAAACACCACTATTGGACTTTTCCCACCTAGTTCAAGTGTAACAGGCTGAAAAGTAACCATTACAAAAATAAAATAACAAGGAAAATCCAAGTTTAATATAATGTTCTTTTCTTGTCCATTTTCTCCTTAGGGAGGAGGGAGTCGTTCCCACCGAACCCACTGCCACATCAGCTTTTCTCTTTGATTTTTCTTCATCTTTCCGAACCCACAACACACGGAAATCCTATCTTTTTCAACCCACTCAATTAAAAAAAATACTAAACAACTAAGGTACAAGTCTTAAAACATATGGTACAAGAGAAAATGAGAGAGAGAGGATGAAGTGGGTTCGTGAAACCAATTAAACAACCTGTCAAAGAGGGAGTGGTAACGGCGGTAACTCTATTGCTAATTAAGATTTTACCTTGATTATTTTGTATATTTTTTTTAATTAAGTGGGTTGAGTGGGTTGAAAACATGGTTGCAGAAATCGGGATTAATCGTGGATTAATCATTTGGCGTTCTCCAACCGTCAAGGATTAGGGCGTTAATCGGAAATTTAGGATTAATCGGCCTTGGCGGGATTAATCGGTCAACAAAAGTCAAAAAAATCGAAAAAAACTCAAAAAATAAAAATTTAAAATTCAAAAAACCAACTTTCTTTTTTTACTTCAAAGTTTTCAAATTTTCAAAATTCCAAATATTATACCAAAATGTTCTTATTTTCGTATTTCCAAATTTCCAAATTACAATTTTTCTAATTTTCTAATTTTGAAGTATATTAATATTTAGTTAATTTTAATATTTTATTAATAATCTATGGTCCCCAATTAATCCTCGATTAATCCTCGCCAATACCGATTAATCCCTTAACACCAGTCGATCGTCAAGCTACCGTCAAACGATTTTTACAACCTTGGTTGAGAAAGATAGGATTTCCGTGTGTTGTGGGTTCGGAAAGATGAAAAAAAATCAAAGAGAAAAACTGATGTGGCAGTGGGTTCATTGGGTTCGGTGGGAACGACTCCCTCCTCCCTTATCCTTAAAAAATGAACTGAGGGGGTGTTTGGATTAGATTTTTAGCTTATTGCTTATAGCTTATTTGTGGTGGGAATAAGCAATAAGCAATAAGCATGAGGAGGGATGCTTATTAAAATTAGCTTATTTAGCCTAATAAGCTGGATTTTATCCAAACACTAAAATTAGCTTATTGTGGGAATAAGCAATAAGCACCTCTTTTTTTCCTATCCAAACACCCCCTGAAAGTCTGAAACAGAAATCATGGGAAATTGATTAATACCTTAACATTTTGAGCAGCAGCAGTCATGACCTTGCTTCCTGTGGCACTGCTTCCTGTGAATGCAATCTGTAAAAGAATCTTTTTTCATCATTTTAATATTTTGGCATAAAAGAGGTGAATAATATCATTTGAAGGAAACAAAGAACTAGACCTTGTCAACATTGGGGTGAGCTGCTAATGGAGCACCTGCTTCTTGACCTAATCCAGTCAGAATATTGAGAATACCAGGAGGGAGTCCCACCTCTCTGCATATTTCACCTAATTCCAGACAAGTACTGAAATCGAATAGCAACTCATATCATATACATAATAAGCAAGAGTAGATAAAATTATAAAATACAGAAGGAATTACTAATTTTACTTACAGAGATGCTAATTCTGATGGTTTGAGTATGGCAGCACATCCAGCTGCCATGGCAGGAGCAACTTTCCAGGTGGCCATCAGCAAAGGGTAATTCCTATAGGTGAAATGAAGGAGATGATTGTTTGAACTTTGAACTTTGGATTACACCTCACTGAATCAGAAGAGAGAGGAGGTATTAAGTATACCATGGAGTAATCAATCCAACAACACCAATAGGTTCTCTGATAAGATGACACTTAAATGTATCCATTGGAAGAGCAACAGATGCATTTTGATTTCTATCCAACTCTTCAGCAAGATCAGCATTGTACTCAAAGCATCCAGCAACATCATCCTAAATGATTAAATGTCATATGGATATACTATTAAGTTTGTTAATGAAGCTAGTTATGTCATTATATGCAATTAACATACCACATCCCAAGCTGCTTCTTCAAGTGGTTTGCCACAATCGATGGCTTCAAGTTTTGCCAATTCAGATTTTTTCTCCACTATCTGTATATAGAATTTATGAATTTGAGACAAAGAAGATGAAGTAACGGATAACCACACACACACACACACACACACACCTTTGAAGCAATAGCACGCAAATACTTGGCACGATGAGCTCCTGATGCTGATGCCCACTCTTTCCCTCCATTACGTTTAAGAGCTTCGTGAGCAGCATCCACAGCAATGTTAACATCTTCTTCTGTAGCAGCTGGAATATCCCCTGAACACAATATTTCGAACATAATCAAGTTAACATACAAAAACCCTAACAACTTACACAGCCATGAAATCAATAACAGATGTGCAAATCGCAAAAACATAAACCGCAGCGTTCTAAGTTGTAATTATTTGGAGAAATGAGACCAGAAAAGAACATTTAGAAATCTGTGAGCTGCATACAATATGCACAATACTTACATATGCATAATCCGCGAATAAACCAGAAAAAACATCCAGAAGCAAGTGAATGTAAACTGCAATGATTGGAAAGCAGGATACATATCTATAATCTGACAACTTCCAGTGTGAGTGTTTGGAGTGACGGGACTAGGAACTAGGAAGAGGAGATTAGGTATACCAAATTACCAATGATCTGCTCGGTGGCCGGATTGATGACGGGGATGCGGTTCTTCCTAACAGGTTCTCTCCACTCGCCATCGATGAATAACTGACGTGATGGTATTAGGATCGACATGCCAGATATACGGCTGATCGGTTATAGTGTGTCGGAGAGTTCGACGACTGAGCTGTGGTTGAACGACAGTAGTTAACGGCGGAATAAAAACACAACGACAGATGTGAAGAAGGTCTTAAAAACGAGCAGGCAGAGTGTAAAAATCGACTGTGTTCCGATGCAAGTCCATAGTACACAAAAATGTATGGAGGTGCGGGGAATCGAACCCCGTGCCTCTCGCATGCGAAGCGAGCGCTCTACCATATGAGCTACACCCCCAATTTGTTAGTTATTTTCCCGTTATCTTTAATATATATATATTCCAACAATATTCATTTTTATCATCTACTTGTTTGTTGAATGTTATATAGTTATATAATTTAGAGATCGAGTTTTTTTAATGAATAACCGACCCGAAACTAGATCCTAACCAAATAAGTTTTTCGGTTCGATTTTTAGTTTTGTATTTTGGGCTTATTAGGTTATTGAGTATTTCGGTCCCGTTTACCTAAATAAATGCTTAATCGGCTCTAAATGAACCGACGGAATAATCTATCATAAGGTTTTTCAATTTACTCTTATTACAATGTATACATACTGAATAACGGAAATACAAATAATTATTATACACAATAAAAGTCGTTGTGTCGTTGCATCTTATGAACATAAAAAGGATATTGAACCGACTCCAAAACTAGGTGGTTTGTAGCCGAAGGGATTTGATGTTGCCGTTCTTATCTTCCGATGCATGTATTCCGGTTGTTGCAATAGCTTTTCTCCATCTATGTAACACATGCTTTTCTACAATAAACCCACATATGGAAAGTATCATCATACTTTCCATCTCTCTCTGTAACTGCTTCCCACTACCACCCATCAATGTTGTCGATGGTTTGCCGTGTACTTCGTAATCGACCGATATGAGCAACTTTTTCTTGGGGATTTATTGCATCAAACACACTATCTAAAAGTAGCGGAATAATAAAAAGATTTACCTAAGTGCATATGTATCCATGAGTCTAGGTTTTACTAGTTTAAGCAACATACTTTAAAACCAAACTAAAAGAATAGAACACTTACATCTTGATCGTTAGATCATGTGATTGAAATTTTTTTCAATGGATAGAGAGCCCAAAGTAGAACTCCTTTAATGTAGTCAAACCCAAGACTCCAGAAGCAAACTCTATTAGGGTTTATGCGAAAGTCACCACCCCTATGAGAGAGTTATGAATTTTGTCCATTTTGAGAGAGAGAGAGAGAGAGAGAGAGAGAGAGAGAAGGGGGGGGGGGGGAGAAAAACAAAAATTTAAAGAAAAGTACTTCTTGGATTGACCTCTAACATCCTATTTGTAGGTAACAGATAAATCCTCAAGAGATTCAAACTCTTAGGGTTTATCATTTCCTTATTTGAAAGGTGCTTTATCCCTATCTGGGATGTAGTTATAATTAGGCCTGGCAATCGGGTGGGGTTTGGGTTGACAGGTCACGGGTTTACGGGTTGGCGAGTCAGAAAACAAAAACTCAACCCAACCCATATAATATATAGGTTGGCAGGTCACATGTTGGTGGGTTGGAAACCTCAACCCAACCTAACCCATATAAATCGTTTAATTATATGGATTCGCGGGTTTACAAGTTAGCGGGTCTAATCCAACCCATATAACCCGTTTAATAAATAAGCAACAGACTTTAAAAAATGATGAGTTTTTTTAACATAAAGTCATAAAGTGATTAAAGTAATTAACATAACAAAATGTTTTCAACATAAATTCATAAAGTCATTAACATCTAAATAAAATTGAAAAACAAGAATATTCATACAAAGTAGATGCGTTCTTCATTCATGACTTGTGAGTATCTAATAATGATGACATGTGTTTTTTCTTTTTGATTAGGGCACTGCAAACATAGACTAGACACATACACATATGGAAGGAATACAATGATACGAAATATTACGAATACGAAAGGAAATCAAATTTCATTAATAATTAAATATATCTATTTTTTTGAAATGTAATATATATATATATATATATATATATATATATATATATATATATATATATATATATATATATATATATATATAGTTGACCCGTGAACCCAAACAGGTAACCCTATCCAACCCATAAAATAAACGAGTTAGTGGGTTGGCGGGTCAAAAATATCAACCTAAACCCATCTAATATTAGGTTGGATCAGTGTCGAGTTACGGGTTGGATCAATAGTTGTCACCCTTAGTTAAAATCATTCACCTCCTTTTTCTAGATGGTTCTAGAAAATTTCAGATAATTCCAAAGATTTAATTAATATTCAACCCATTTAATTAATTAGAACTATTTAATTAATTACCAAAATAATTTCTAGTTAATTTATTAATTCATTAAAAAATTAACAACTTATTTTCTCCATTTACTTAATGTTATTTGTGTCATGAAGCCAACCCAAAAGGACTTTATTATTATCTAGAAATATTACCAACTATTTAATGACTTAGACACTATTTCCAACAGTCTCACACGTAAATAAGTCGTTAACTTTGTAGGGTCTTAATACTTCTCAAATAACTAACAGAGAGTTAATTATCTAATGCAACTGCGAAACACTTAATCCTAATTAGGTTTAGACCTTAGATAAGGGATCGATTATTCCTTTTTCTAGATATCCGTATGAACTTGAGACATGGATAATGTATAATCTTTAGAGTTCAAAAATTTGCTTCCCGATAAAGATTTCTGACAATCACATCTGATTTCTAAATTGAACAAATCAATTTAGTCAGGACCCAACCAGGTACATCCGATGTCGGTACTAAATCATCATGGGGCCCAAGGATATCTCTTCTCCTGTTAAGGAAGAAGTAACAAATAAGCTTTGACTACATAGTTTTTGTCTACGAGTCTAACCATACATGGACATACCCTTTATGACTACGGGTTACAGATAGCGTTGGAGTACACTTATGCACAATAGATTTTGTAAGCAAAACCCCATATGCATCTTGGTTTGAAGATAAATGATGTTATCTTCTTAGAATTACGCGTAACAAGATCCATGAAATAATCTCTAAGTGTGGGTTGTTCCAATACTTAAAATCCTCATTTCAAGTACTCATGCAGTGTTAGCGTAATTTCTTATGCAATGTCCAATCTCGTATGGTCCAGTCAACAAACACTTATGTTGAAGATTATTATGTTGCGTCTTGGGCCCTTATGTTTTACAGCCGGATTGGGCTTGTCAATCCGTGTTTATCTAGATTAGCCTTCTTTTTCTTAGATAAACCGTTAGGGTTTTATTATAAATATATGCATGCATGTATGCGTATAGTGGTGGTCGTCACTCTCATTGATTATTGTAAACCCTAAAATCCTCTACAGTTGATGTTATTTATCGAGCTCTTCTGAGGATTGTTTATTAAATCATTCGACACCTTTTGATCCATTAGCTTGTTCTTAATTGTTTATCTGATTGTTTCTCTACCTGTTTCATAGATCTAATCGATCTTCAAGTTTGTTTCTTAACTTATCAATTGGTATCAGAGCAGGAGGCTGTGTAATCGATACACTTCTTTTCTGTGAAAAAGCTTCGATTAGGGTTATTCCGCATTCATTGATATTTATTGAGCCGTCATCTCATAATTGACGTATCTCAATATTTATTGTTTTTGCCCTAATTCGATATATTACAAGTCTGATCTTTGAACAGGTTATTCGATCAATTATGGACGAGTCGCAATCCAATCCCATCAATATTTCAAACAGCATTGGATCAACAACGAAGATTCCCATCCTGTACACCCATGATTATGAAGTCTGGGCGAATCACTTTGAAGATTATGTCATAGGATCTGAGGATAATGGATACCTCATCTGGGAAGCAATAATCTCTGGACCGTTTTCTCATTCAGCAACTTCAAGGATTATTAAAACTCAAAATGAGTATAACGATCTTCTGAAAGATGTTAAAGATGTAGCACAAGACGAAAAAGTTAAATTTCAGTGCAATATCAAAGCGCTAAGATTGATTAGATTTGCTCTTCAATCCGATACTTTTAGGCTGGTAAGTTCATGCACGACTGCTAAAGAGATATGGGACATGCTACGTGAATTATACTCTACAGACGAAGATCTTGAACACTCCATTCAAACCTTACTCTTGTTTGAGTTTGGTGAGTTCAAGCAAGGAGCAGAAGAAACGGTGACTCAAACGTTTGATCGTTTCAATCATCTTCTTAGCAAGATGATCAAACATGACATCGAAAGGAAGCTTATTGAACAGAAAGTCACGTTTTTGAACGAAATCAGGTCTGAATGGAGAGCAATCGTGTCCACTGTAAAAGCGCACGAGCAATTCAAATCCTATTCTTTGGCGAAACTGGTGGGCATCCTTAAATCTCAAGAAAAGATCGTATTACAGGAGAAAACCATGACTTCAAGTCTAGGTTCGTTGGCCCTCCTATCAAAAAGCAAAGCCGTGATAGAGGAAGAAGATCTCAACTTGGATGATTATGATCTCACGTCTGAGGACTATGCTATGATGGTTTCAAACCCTAAGAGATTCATCAAGAAGAGATTCCCCACCAACAGGAACCGAAACTGGCAAGGAAGCTATAGCTCTGAAAAGGTCAAGGATGAACCGAAAGATGAAGAATCAAAGAAGGAACCGAAGGCAGAAGGAGATTCTGGAGTAAGCTGCTATTATTGTGGAGGAAAGAATCACTATGCAAAAGATTGCGTCCTCAAAAAGATGGCAGAAAAGGATGAAGAAAATGATGAAGAGGTCGTGTTGATGAAAAAGCTTGATGAGTTAAGGAAGAAGAAATCTGCTGCTAACCCTTCCATGAATGCTTTAATTGTGCAGGGTTCGATAGCTGATGATGAGTTCGGTGGCGTGGAGGTCTGGTCAACCGACTCCGAAGATGATGAAGTGAGGAAGCCTTCACATGGAAAGGCTTATGTGGCGAAAGAAGAGAGCAGTGGAGGAAGATGCTTGATGGTGTCCGACGTTTCTCAGATGAGGGGATACAACACTGATGGTGGGAATGATGACAAGGAACAACAAAATCTGTGCTTTATTGCCAAACCACTCAGCGTGCAGTTCAGCGAACTTGATGAACTGATCAAGAAGGTACAATTAGTTTTTGTCTCATTTAAAGTCCCACAATGCTCATATGGAAAGGAATTAAAAAATGTTAATTCAAGAATCTCTCATCTAGATAGTAGTT